GAGCAGGGGCTTATTGCCTCCCCTCTGGCTCCATAGTAAACCGAGGGGTCATAGTTTATTGATCCGAGACAATTTTCCTGTGACCGACATTGCCCAGACTTGCATCTCTGGCACAGCCTGAAAGGGAGGCGCTTCCCCCCAGGGGGGGCTGCCCTGTAATTTGCCCAGTAACTGTTTAGGCTGGCAAGCCACACACCCCTTCGCTTTTTCTGGGGTTTGCTGCATTGTACTTGAGCAGCTACGACCAGCAGAGCAGTTTCTCTCGCTACCCGGTCAGGCACTGCAATTAAAGCGGGGCCGGTTATTGAACTGTAATTCAAACCTTCGCCTTGCACCCGCACCTCTGGATCTGGCCCTGTGCTTTGGTGAAAAGACACTTTGCACTTCTGTAAGTGATTTTGCAGAGGCCACTTGGGAATGAGGTCAGCCCTGGGGGGAAATGTCTGGGTCGTATTTCCTGGGCTGCCAGAGGACAGATACCTGAGGTTGGGAAGGCACCCTGCTATCCGCCCGATCTCCCTGCTGACCACTACCCTCCAGGCCTGCTCCTGTGCTCATAGCGTGGGGCGAGGGCTCGGTCCCCACTGGGACAGCCAGGCCATCTCTGAAGATGTTTGTGGCCATCGTTCACATGGTCAGTTGTCCCACAGACCACACGGCCCTCTTCTTGAAGTGCCTGCCCCCAGAGCTCCTTTTTCAGAGACACAGTGAAGTGGTCAAGAATGTTCTGGAGGGTTTCCCCCTCTGGTCTGACCTCTGGGCCACACCTCCTATGGCTCAGGGCCTCTCTGCCACTTGGGGCTATGGGACGAAGGGCATCATTCCCATTTTCCAGATGGGGAAACTGAGTCTCGGGATGTTTATGAGTGGCCTGAACCTGGATGACAGCCTGACTCTAGCACATTGATTAAATTAATGACCTTCACAGGTACTTACTGCAGGCTGGGTACACAGCAGAGCAGGGGCTGATCAAAGGTGTCACCCGGGCGGGAAGCCCACTCCACTGTCCACTCTTGGGAGTGGGCATGGCTGCCCTTCATGCACTGTCTGCCCTTAGCCGGTGGGCGGACTGCCAGAGGGTGCATATGTACATCCCAAGGGTGCCAGTTTCCTTCTCTAGGGCTCTGCCTCCGAACAGGAAGGACTGATCTCCATGTCTCTACACCCACCTGCCTTTGGACCCCACCCCGCTGCTCAGAGGCTCTCAGTGGGTCCTGGGCTCTCCATCTGGCCGAGCTGCGGTTTCCCGGCAGGGTGGGCACTGCATGGCCCAGAGCTTGAGCTTCTGAGCAAGGACCAGGACACCAGGTACTGATGGGTGGACACTGGCTTGTGAGGACCCCGTGTGTCAGAGAAGACTCTGTAGGGTTCAGTGGCTGATTTTTTTTGGAGTGGTTAGCCAGCGCTTTCTTCCTAGATACTTTGGAGTGGACTCGAACCACCAAACTTTCAGTTAGCAGTCCAGCTTGTAACCATTTGCACCACCCAGGGATTTCAGCCAGCACACCCAGGTTTAAATCCCAATACCTCTGTCCAGCTGTGTAACCTTGACTGAGGCTCCTAACCTCTGTGTTTCTAAGATGCTGTACACGGCAGCCACCAGCAGTGAGGATTAGAAAACCTCACGTAACGCACGTCCACGTATGAAGCAGTCAGTACTGTCCTCTTACATACATGGGGCACATTGTCAAGAGGCCAGTTCCTGGAGAAGGACATCATGCTTGGTAAATCAGAGGGGCAGGGAAAGTGAGGAGATGGATTGGCACCGCGGCTGGAGCAATGGGCTGAGCACAGGAACCGTTGTGAGGGTGGCCAGGACCACGCAGGCAGTGTTTCCTTCTGCTGTGCGTAAGGACGCTCTGGGCTGGACCTGACTCGACGGCACCTCACAACAACAGAAACCACCGTCCTGTCACACAGCAGGCACTCTGGCTCCCCAGCCACACGATCACAGAAGCTTGGGGGCAGAAGCAAGGCCTCTAGTGGCTTTGTACAAGCTGAGCTCCATGCCAGTGCTGTTAGATATAGTGGAGGGGTGGCCGGTTGACACTGCTGACCCAGAACTGTGACCTGGTTCCATCCCTTACTTTCAGGGTCACTTTGGGCCAATGACCATGGGTCAGTTTCTATCTCCCCACCTTGCAGGGTGGTTCTGGGCACAAAGAGCCGAGTATTACGGGACATTGTGTGAACTTCGAGCTGCACACACTTTCACGCGGACATGTGATGCCAGCTTGCTTGCCAGCGCTGAGGAGGCGGGCTTATCTGCACGGCCAGTGACAACAGCCAGGTGCGGCCCCAACGGTCCTGGGTCCTCCTGATTCCCCTGCGGGGGGAGCAAGTGTTCGAGAGGGACAACGGGCTTAGTCCCAAAGAGGAGCAGCTGGCAGCCCTGATGGAGGCCGAGGTGGCCCCCGGTCCTTGATTCTCAGCAGGGGTGTCAGCATCACGAGAAGAGTTCGCTAAGAATGCAGACACCACCGCCTGCTCCCCGCGCCCACCCCACCCCCCCCACTCCCCCACCCAGTTCCAAATTCTGATTCAGTGGGTCTACGGTGTGGTCTGGACTTCGGTCACAACCCCAGGGATTCGGATGCAGGCGGTCAGCTCCCAGCCCAGGCTGGTCCCCCAGCTCTGCAGGTGTCTTGCTGCTCCAGTGCTCGGAGCCCGCTGGTGACTGCATGGATGCACAGACAAATGAAAGCCATCAGGAACAGCAGGGGCCTCTCTGACCTCTGCCGGAGAACTGCCCCCGCCCTGGGGCCTCACGCACCAAGGACCCTCTCAGGGCCACGCGCCATCTGCTGTGGACCAGATGCGGCAAAGCCACCGTGGTAAGCACTCCGGGTCAGGAGGCCCTCAGCCAGCTCTTGCAGGGATGGCTGGGGCCCAACAGAGCAGCCTTGTTCCCAGGCCCTGTGGGCTAGGACTGCCCCTGGACCTCAGCTCAGCCTACAGCCATTGCCACCGAGGCAGGGAGGCCTCTCAAGCTGTGAAATGTCACTACTGTTAATCCCACGTTGCCATCGAGAAGACCAAGCTCCCAGACATAAAGGGAATTCTCCTGGACTCCTGTCTGTCTTGCCCCAGCCCTTGTTTCCGCCACAGCTGGGACTGTGGAGGGGAAAAGGAGAGGGTGTTGTGTTTTGTTCCTTGAAGGGAGGGGGCGCTGAGGTAGTGAAGGTGGTGGGGACCTGAAGGAGGTTCTGGGAGGTCTCCAGAGGCAGGGCCCATGCAATCGACCATCACCAATTCCCACTGACCATGTGATGAGGGCTTTGTCCAGGCAGGGAGGCTGCAGCTGCTACCATTTCTCCTGAAGCCAGGCTTCTCAGCAGGGGTGCCAATCCCAGGAAGCTGGGAGACCCTCCAATGCCCCCACCCCTTCAGTGGGTGGGGCTGGAGCCTGTGAAGGTGCTTTAAGAAAGAGTGGGCGCCAGCTGCTTGAGAACCACAGGAAACCTGGGGCTGACTCTCGGTAGGTTTGTTTGTGATGAACGTCAGTGACCAGTCGGTTTAGTTCAGATTCATGGGCGCAGGACCGTGTGGGGTTGGTAAGGGCTAATTTAGTCTGAAGTGAACTGCCAGGGAGATTTGAACCGCCAGACTTTCTGTTAGCGGCTGAGTGCATTAACTATTTGCACCATCCAGGGACTTCTAGTTTATGACACCAGGGGCAACGGATACATCACTAATGCCACATGCAGGGACCCTGATAGCACAGTGGTTAAGTGCTTAGCTGCCAACTACAAGGTTGCTGGATCTACCCCACCAGCCGCTCTGTGAGTGAAGGATGAGGCAACTTGTTTCTGTCAAAGATTACAGCCTTGGAAACCCTGAGGGGGCAGTTGTGTTGTGTCCCGTAGGGTGGCCGGGAGTCAGAGTGGGCTCTGCAGATGGGGGTTCCTGTCACCTGCAAGTACACGGACAGTGAAAAGAGCTAACAAGTGGTTGTAGCAGGACGTCAACCGGGAACTGCAAGAACCCGAACGTCAGATTCAGAAGAGGTTTCAGAACGAGGATGTCACTGCTGATGTTAGAGAGGCTTGGCTGGGAGGAGAGAATCCCAAAAAGATCTTCACCCGTGTTGAGTTGATTATGCAAAGGCATTCGACTGTGCGACTCATCACGGATCATGAATCACCCTGCAGAAAAAAACAAAGCGGGACCCTCGACTAAACTTCATTGTGCCCATGTGGGGCCTGCCCACAGGCCCGGAGAGCACAGGTGTGCTGCAGACGTGTTCAATCTGGACGCTGAGCCAACGACCCGAGAAGCGGGACGGCGAGAAGAAGACTGGTGTGGGCCCGCTGGAACCCTCGCTAGCCAGAGGTAAGCAGCCGACACAACTGCTTGCTGCTGCAGAGCAAGAGGACTGGAAGCACTTGCTGATGGAGATACAGGCTCAAGGTGGACGCGTGGCTGCACAGAGAGAACAAAAGCCCTCACTGCCAGATCCGTGCGAAGCGCGATGAATGTCGGGAAGACCGACGTTGTCAGGGGTTTCATTTCCTGGGTCGACAATCAACGCCCGTGGTGGTGGAGGAGCAGTCGGGAAATCCACCGCGGCATTGCCTCCCATGCGTGGGAAAACTGGACAGTGGAGAACGGAAGCCCGAGGGAGGATCGGTGCCTTTGAACTAGGGCGTTGGCACATCCCCTGGACAATACCACAGACTGCTCGAATTGTGTCTTGGGAGAAGTACAGCCAGAATGCTTTTTAGAAGCAAGGCTTGTGAAGCTTCGGCGGGCCCGTCAGGAGGGACTCATCACTGGCGACGGCCATCCTGCTTGGTAAAGTGGGGGTCAGGGTGAAAGAGCAAGGCCTCTAACGAGCTAGACTGGCACAGTGGCTGCAGCACTGTGCCAAAGCACAGCACCCAGCTCGAGGGTGGTCTACCCAGGTCAGGACCAGGTTGAGTGTCATACTGTTGTTCACACGGTCTCTCTGCGCAGCAGCAGCCACACAGAGCCCATCCACGCGCACGGTGACTGCATGCTGTCCGAGCAGAACTGTGCTCCACACGGTCTGCCAAGGCTGGCTTTCCCAAAGGAGCCGGTCAGGCCTTTCTTCCCGGGTGCTCTGGGCAGGCTTCCTCACCCACCTTGCTGTCAGCAGCTGAGTGTTCTACCTGGCTGGGACCCAGCACAGGGTTTCTGGGACTTCATCTTTACAGGAGCATCTTTTCTCACAGAGCGGCCAGTGGGTTTCAACTGCCAACCTGGCCTTGCGGGGGCCGCCCCATGCGAGTCCCTCCTTCTAGTTTAAGATACTTAAGAACCACCCCACCCACCCAAAACCCAACTCACTGCCATCCAGCCCAGTCTGGCTCCACAGCGACCCTGCCGGACACAGGAGAACTGTTCCAAGACTGCACACAATTTTTACAGGGTAGAAAGCCTCATTTTTCGGTGTCAGAGACTAGGAGTGAATTGTTGAATTTTACACTGCTGACAGTTAAGCCCGCTAACAAAATGAAACAAAACTTGTTTTAAAAAAATTAAATTTGGAAATTGGGGTGCGGTCAGTTCAAAGGGCTGGGAGACGGTGTACACGGCCTTTCTGGGAGCCAGCTTTGGCCTTGACAGCTCTATTCTGCAGTCTTCCCAGGGGCTCAGGAGACCAAGGCGGCTTCAGGGGACCAGGGGGGCTGCAGGCTGCAGCACTGACCTGGGGCTGGAAGCGGCCAGTGTGAGGGGTGCACTGGGCATCACAGCAATCACAACAGGAAGTGACCACAGCCACCCAAACGCCCCCGATGGTGTGTGTGTGTGTGTGTGTGCGCGCGCGCGCGTGTGTGTACCCCACCGGCAGGGGGCGGGGGCATGGTGGGCCCAGCCGGCCCATACTCACGCTGCACCCAGGTCCCGCTGACTGGGCTGAGGAAGTTGGGGTAGAGGCCGAAGGGCTTGTCGATCTTCCTGAGGACTTTGCGGATGTTCCGGACCTGCCGAGAAAGGGACACAGGCACACCCTCACTGACGAGTCTCCCGGCCACCGAGGACAGCCAGCAGGAACGGCGGCTGCCCGTGCCTGGGGATGGTGAAGCCTGACCCGCAGCTCCCCACGGACTGTGCTGAGCGGGACCCTCTAGCCCCACCAATTACTGCCTCCAGGCCCACCACCTGCCCTCACCTCAACCCTTCTCACTGTCAATAATTTTAGGGGAGGGGTGGTTTAGTGTGTGTGGGTGGGTGTACATATGTGATTCTGGCTCCTTTGAGTGTAAAGGTAAAACTGCCTTTGTTATAGGCCCCATGTGGGGAAACACCAGCCCCTTCCTCTGGCCCGCTGTTACAGTGCCCCAGTGGATGACAGCCCAGAGGGGCCCTGTAGGACAGAGTAAGACAGCCCCATCCAGTGTCTCAGATGAAGGTCTTGAAGGGAGCAGACTGCCAGGCCATTTCTCCTAGTCACATGCCATTTTATCTGACCGGGGAACTGTTCGAAGGAAAGGCCTGGGGGTCCCGACACCCTCATGCCTCAACAGGCACCCAGGCTCCTCATAATACTGATGACAATGACCACGAGGGCATGAACTGGTGTCAACGATGGTCACATGGTCCCTTGGAGCAGCCCCTTCAAGCCCATCATTCTCCACCCTCATTATAGCCCTCAAGGCGCTCACACATCAGGTGAGAAACTTGAATTACAAAGAGGCTGCGAGTCAGGGCTGTGTGGCCCCAACGACCACCTGCCTCTGCCCGGGACCAACATGGATCAGGTCAGTGACCACACAGAACATGCAGCCTGAGGATGCCCGGTCAGAACAGGGAGAGGCCAGCTTTGTAATTTGGGGGGCGTGCAAAGAGGGGACCCGCACATCCCACTGGCTTTACCTGCAGGTCCCCGCTCTGGGGTGGTACATGAACTCCTCTGAACAGAGTCCACCTGGGAGAGAGCCCCGGCCGGCATATACCATGCTTACAGATTCACCCGCAGGCCAAGGGGCGGGGGTGGGGGGTGGGGGAGCAGCCGTTTAGCTGTTAGCCTTTCTTTCCAGGGGCCTGCGCTTGGCGTGGCTGCAGCAGATCCCCTATCTACTTATGCTAAAGGAGTCCATTATGGGGACAGGAAGATGCTTGTACCTGAGTTATTCTCGAGTGTCCTGGCGGTGAGCAGTGAAGCAGGCTGAATGAGCTCCCCCCGGAGGGTGCGAGGGCGTCTAGAATTGGGGCCAATTTGTTGACTGCCAATAATCGCCTCGGTGGGAAGCGTGACTGGGGCATGCAAACAACCAGAGACTGGAATGGAGAGCGAGCGAGAGGGGCAGACAGGGGACGGAGAAGCCCTTTGGTGGCAAGCTGGGGCCTGCTGCACTTAATTTGGTCTGCAAAGCAGGGCTTCAGAACCAGCACGCCTTCACAGCTGGACAACCTGCGGCCAGTTACTGTATGTAACTTCCATGCACGTGCGTTTGCTCCTCTGTAAAGTGGGGGTATAGGAAGGCCACCTCATAGGGTGGTTGGGAACACTGAAGAGTTTCAGGAGCCCTGGGGGTGCTGTGGGTGAGGCGTGCAAGCTTGGTGGTTTAAACCCACCAGCTGCTCCTCGGAAGGAAAATGAGGCGGCCTGAGCCTATAACGATGCACAGCCTCGTACACCCTATGGTGTGTGGTGTATGGCGGCTCTGTGTGGGAATGCAGTCCGTGGCAGCGAGTCTGACAAGTCTCCCAGCACACAATAGATGTACAGGGACTGGTAGCTGTTGTTTCCAGACTAGCTGGGGACTAGAAGGAGTTCCTCGTCTCCCTCCACTCTCAGCTGGTCAGGATGGTCTCAGAGGGGCTGAAGAGTGGGGAGGCTGGGGCAGGGAAGGGCGGGGCTTGGAAGTGGGGAAAGGGATCAGAAAATAGGACCCACTGGGACACAGTTACATGGACCCAGGAGCTTTCACAGTGGGGGCTCCCCGCCAGGCAGGAAGCCCTGAATAGAAGAGGCAGGGTTCTGAAGGAAAGTCTTACAAGTCTGAAGGACTGGGGTGGGTGTTAGCCCAGTGGCAGAGGGAGTGATCTGGGATGAAAACTTGGGGGGATCCCCACCTGGGAGCCCAGCAGCCTCCCATCTGGAGTCGAGAAGTATGTGGATGTGTTCGAGTTGGGGACTCCGGGGCCCAGGGAGCTGCTTTCTCACAGGTGCACCAGCTGAGCGTTTGTGGTGAGCGCTAGTGGTGCGCTGGTTACATGCTGGGCTGCAAATGACAAGGTCAGCCGTTCGAAACCACCAGCTGCCAGAGGGAGAAAGATGAAGCTTTCCACTCCCTTAAAGAATTAGCCTCAGAAACCCGCAGGGGCAGGTCTACCCTATCCTACAGGGTCGCTAAGAATCGCTGAATCGACTCGAAGGTCGTGAGTTTGGTTTGGGTTTGGATACTGGCAGCCACTGGAGTGGTTACAGAGGGGCACCGCCAGGTGGATGCCAGGATGAGATGGTGGCCTGGCCCCACCTCTCACCTGATGTGTGGCATCAGACAACAGGGCTCGAGGCAGCCCCACCTCTGCCTGGAGGAGGAGTCTGTGCCTCCCTCCAGGGCCGGTGTCTCCCTGCCAGCCTGCAGCCTGAGCGGCAGCACGTGAGAAGCCCTGGGAAGGGGGCTCTTGGCATCGCGGGGGTGGCTGACGCTGGCCAACGTGAGCGGTGCCTGCAGGCTCCACTCCCCTCCATTTCACGCGTGTGTGGCTGCCGCCGCCGAGCTTCTCCCCACAGAGCTAAGTCCCTTCCTGGCCCTCAGCAGACTCCAGATTACCCGTGCCCACCTCCCTGCTGCCTGGCATCTGGGCCTCCAGAGCTCCCCAAATGCTGCTTCACGGCAGCAGCAGGGACTCGGGCTCGTCCCAGGGAGCCATAGCGAGACTTGCCTTTTCAGCGAAGACCTGGTTGCCAGAGAGCTCCGTGAGGTGTAGGAACTCCAGGTGCAGGGATCCAAACTCCGCCAGGACGCTGCTACTCCCCGCCGTGGCCCAACCCCAGCTGCCATTAGAGCCGCTGAAAAGACAGAAGCCGCTGTCACCGCTGGCCTGGCTCCCACCTCTGCTCAGAATAACCTGCCTGGGACAGGGAGCGCCTGTTCTGGGCCCCAGGGGGAGCGACAGTCCCTGATGAGGGACTGTGGGCTGTGGGCTGCAGTGGCCTGCTGAAGGGCGGTTCCCACAGGCCGGCCTGACATGCAGTCGGCTTTGTCTCTACAGCCTGGGGCTGCAAGGAGGGTGGGGGCAGAGCTGCCTTCCCACCCAAGAACGGGCAACACGTGACCTGGTTTACAAGTGGCACTAATAATGTCAGGAACCACGGAAGTCTCACAAGACACCCTTCAGATGGGCTCTGGCAGAGAGGGCTCTGCATGTGGATGTCAGCCGGGCTGTGGCTGGGTCCAAGATGCGGGTGGGTGGGTGGGGCACAGGTCAAAAGGCAGGAGCACCTGGTGGGTCCTCGGCCTCTCCCCACAGCCGGGGCCCTGGGGTCGTGGTAACGTGCTGTCTCCTAACCACATGGAGGAGGAGGAGGGGCTCTCCTCTCAAGAAGAGCTACAGTCTCAGGAGGCCACAGGGGAAGTTTTAACCTGTCCTCCAGGGTCACGATGAACGGGGCTTGGATTCAATGGCCAGCAGGGCTGCTGTGACTGGGGAGCTTCGAGGGAAGCAGGGCCTTCGGAGCAGAGGTGACCTCACGGCTAACAGATTCTTCCCATGACACCTGCGGTTCCAGCCGCTGGTGCCAACACTACTGCCCTGCAGCCTGGCTCCAGAGGGCAGCACCCTCTTCCGTTTACGCCTGCCCCTTTCACAGATGCAAGCGAGGCATAGACGGTGTGAGTCCTCCCCGGACATGCGCTCACAGCAGAGCAGAGGGGCCCAAAGCTGCCCCCACCACAGCACAGCCCACCCCTCGCTCTCTGTTTGGGCTTCCAGCCCCTGCTGAGAACATGCATCTCTACCCCACAGGCACCGAGTCAGAATCCACCCTTCAACAAGGCCGCCTGCGCATTCTTAGGGAAGCATCGGGGAACCTGAGCTCCAGGGAAAGACTGGAGCCCTTCAAGGTCACTGACCTGGCAGGAGGTGCCAGCAGGGTCAGGCCCCTGGAGGCCATAGCGGTTCCCTCACGCACATATCCCACACGCGCCCAGAGGGAGGGGGCGCTGCTCCCTCTGTGTCCCTCCCCCCCCAGGCCTGCGAGACCACTCCTTCCAGCGGAGGATCTCCTGGGAGCCCAGGCACCAGGGGGTTTCCTGAATAAGTGATGCTCCCTGCCCACCTGGGGGAACCCAGCCCCCCGCACGGGCATCTCCTTCCTCTCTCCCTCCCACCCCTTCCCTGGCAGGCATCTTCCAATGGGCAGAGCATGCAGCTCACTGTGCTGCCTGCCCATCGGCTTCCTCGACCTCGGTTTCCTCATCCGTGGAAGGACAGAGCTCACACTGCTTAGTGTTAGTGTAAGGTATGAATCAGGCTGGTAATTACGGTCCTTCCTAGCATGGAAAGTGGGGGTGGGGTGGCGCAGTGCCTAAAGCACTCTCCTGCCAATGGAAAGGCCAGTGGTTGAAACCCACCAGCAGCTCTGCAGGAGAGATGTGTCTGCGTGGAAGCCAGTGTGCAGCGGATCTGCTCTGTCCCGCAGGAGCCGGAAGGGTGTGCTTTTGTTTCCAGTGACGTTGTTGCTTATGACTGCTTGCACTTGTTACATTCTTGCTATCTGCCAGGCAGCTCGGCATCTATTTCACCCCTGCACCCAGACTCAGATCTTTACTCCATACTCGAGGCTGCTCAGACTCAGAGAGGGGGAGACACCATTCCAAGGTCACACACTACATCCAAGGGCAAATCCTTGGGTCTGCCAGGGTGCCCTGCTGGCACCTGCCCCAGGTGCAGCTGCTCTAGGCGGAGTCTCCTGATAGACCCGCTGGGCGGGTCTACCTCGGCCTCCAACTCCGTGCTCCTTGGAAGCCCGCACATGGGCCTGCCACAGGGACCGCTCACGTATATGGCATGATCGTTAACTCCGACACACAGACCTGGATCCCAACTCTAACTTACTGGCCGGCTGTGTGACCATGAGCAAGGTGCCTCACCTCTCTGAGCCTCCATCTCTTCCCTGGTCAAAGAGCGCCCCCATGCACGGCCTCGTGGTTGTGGGTTGAAAAAGGAAAGCGTGAGAAGACATATTGAATGTTGTTTGCAAAGGCATGTGTGGACATATTGAGTGTGTGTTGTTTGCGAAGGCGTGTGTGCGCGCGCGTGCCTATGAGTGAGAGAGAGACAGGGGCAAGTGTGTGCATCTGAGGGTTTAGGATTTGTGTGGACGGCAGGAGAGTGTATACGGCCAAACATCTCTTTTTATCGTCAGTTTTTCGGTGGTAAAAAAACCTATTACAAACCATCTGTCAATTCAACAGTAGCTCCTGGGACAATTCAGGGACACTGGTTACGACGTCATTATACTGTGCAGCCACGTCCTCATTAGCGGCCACGCAGTGCCTCTCAGCCATGGCCCCCCTCCGCCGCCCCAGTCCTGCTAACCTTTAATGAACTACGGTCCTTCACTGCTTGTCTATTCCACTCAGCTGGGCTCCTACCAGGGGCTCCCGAGAGTTCACGGGAAAACTCCATTATCCTTGACGCCACGCGCCTGTGGAAACCCTCTGTACCAGCGACATCCTTTTGCGTCTGACGGACGGCACCCAACACCGTGTTTTCATGGTCCGTGCGTGTTGTTGCGAGTCCGGACTTCACTTCTCTTCCTGGCTGAGTAATGTTCCATTGTGTGTCTCCTCCCCAGTGCGGCCCATTGATCCACGGACGACGTTAGGGTGTTCCTACCTCCTGGCTACCGTGAATTGTACTGCAAGAACATGGGTGCTCAAGGGTCTGTGTTTCTGCCTCTCATTCCTTTGGGTATAGACAGACCTAGGAGTAGACTTGCTGGGTCATAGGGTAATTCTATGTTCAGCATTTTGAGGAACTGCCAACCGGTTGTCCATAGCAACTGTACCATTTTTGCATTCCCACCAGCCACGGGTGAGTTTCATGCATATGTTTTTGTGACTGTGTGGGAGCGAGAGAGATCGATTCAGCTGTGAGATTCTTCCACTGGCCACCATCCCTCCCCCAGAGGGCTCAGTGTCCCGGCAGGTCACAGGCCCAGACCTCCTCTGATTGATACAAGAGCACCAGGGCCACTCCCCTCCCTGGGGTGGAGGCCTGTCACCTGCTTCTCCTGCTGGGGTCCGAGCTCTAGCCCTTCCTCCCAGAGAGCAGAGACAGTAGGCTGTGTCTGGCGCCAGCAAGCGCCCTCCCAATGGTAGGCAGAGCCTGCAGGGCGGCTGTATGCACACCTGACGCTTTCCTGGTGGAACAGGACGGCATTTTTAGCAACAGCATCTCACCCAGACAACAAAAGGGAGGTGTTGCCAGGAAATGTACACGCATGTCCTTATGTACCCACCCTGGTGGCATGCAGAGCCTAAAAATACACCCGCACGCTGGATCAGAAGCGCCAGGTCTATGTGCTGCGGTACACTGAGAGGCAGACAGCAAGTCTGGCCGAGCTGGGGTTTGTGTGGGGAGAGGCAGAGCCATAGCTCAGGAGGGGGAACACCTTGATCAGGCCCCATTTGGTGAGGCCCGTGAAGGTGGATCTGGGCCAAGGAACCAGAGGATTACATGTCAGTTTCTCAACTCCCTTGGGCAGTTTCCCCAGGATCGGCGTTTGTGGACAAGGAATGGAGGGAGAGGCTGCTTGGAAGGCTTGTTGGCTAAAGTCCTGAGATCAGGGAACCAGCCCGCCCAGTGCGTTGGGACATCCCAGCCTGCCTTGTAGCCTCGGGACTGGCCAGGGCAGAGGGCTCCCGGGGTGCGAGTGGCGTGGGGCTTGCTGCTTGCAGCGCCAGGGCCAGCAGGCTCTGAGGGAGAGCCAGGCAGGGCCCTGCATCCTGGGGGGTGTCAGCCTGGCTTAGCCAGGAGCCGGGGTGCGAGTGGTGTGGGGCTTGCTGCTTGCAGCGCCAGGGCCAGCAGGCTCTGAGGGAGAGCCAGGCAGGGCCCTGCATCCTGGGGGATGTCAGCCTGGCTTAGCCAGGAGCCTCCGTGGTTTGGCAGTTAGGTCTAGTAGTCCCCCTGAGGGAAACAAGACACCACCCTACCTTTTGAAGTTCACAATGCCCTTTGGGATTCCCGTGGGGGTGTTGAAGGCGGGCAGGAGTTTCTCTCCGAGCCGGATGGCCTTTGTCCGGAACACCTGTAAGGGAAGGCTGCTGTGAACTCACGTTGCTCCTGTGGGCAGAACCCACCAGGGGAGGCTGCCACGCAGCCTCCTGCCAGGATGTGAGCCTAGCTCCCTGGACTCCCGTCTGGGTGGCCTCGGCTGAGTCACTTCTCTCTGACCCTCAGCTGCTTTGCTGTCCATAAAACGAGGCTGCCCTTCGCTTCCTCGGAGGCTGCTGGGAGAAATGGGCACCAGGCGATACTACGATGCTACTCGGTGCAATGACTGTGCGTAGGCCGATGGAGGAGGAGGGAAGTAAAAGCAGTCAGCGCAGCGGGGAAGCGTTGAGTCCAGATACAGACTTGGCCACGAGGTCAACGCCTGCCCAGACCACTGAGACGGGGCTGTGTTAGGCTGAATGCCAGGGTAAGCAGCGGACCCATCTGAGCCAAGCACAGAGAGTGCTGGGGCCTGGGCTCCAATCCTTGTCCCCCAGGTTGGGCCTGTGAGCTTTTCAGCAGACCACCGCCTCCCTCTGGGCACCAGTTTCGCTGCATGTACAACGAGGGGATGCGCCCGATGTTTCCAGGGTTCCTGCCTGGTTTCCACTGGACAGATGGGGAGAGAAAGAACAGCAGGACAGTGCTTCTTCCACACCACCCAGACCTGCCCAAGGGCACCACAGAGCAGTCCGAGGCCTCTGGGCTCCTGGCAAGGATCTGACCCGGAACTCATGAGCTCAAAAGGGCCTGCCTTCTGGTTCAGCAGTTTCCCTCCTGGAAATTTAGTCTCAGGAATTAATCAGATTTACCTCCATGGTTATGTGTTCTAGCATTGCTCAACCAACCAACCAACAATGCCATTACTACCAAGCTGGTTCCGGCTCATGCCACCCACATGCCACAGGGCAGGAGAGCTCCATGGGGGTTATTCGGGGCTGTGATCTTCCTGGAAGCAGGCCACCAAGTCTTTCTTCCGGGTACTGCGAGGTAAGTCTGCCCAGCCAAGCCAGGGCTTTGAACTGACCCGTCTGGTTTGACTTCCTGCTAGAAGTTGCCTTTCTACCTCACAGAGAGCCTGAACCAGAATTTCCATTTCACCACAGAATTGTACATGATGCATGGATACTCACGCTTGCCTTTTCTTTGGGCTTATTTGATTTTCTGGGCTGTTTTAATAATGGAAACAGTATTGTTTCCACCACAAACGTTACTTATGATTGTAGACAGTGAAACCAAGCCCCTCAGTGACCTCCCAGGTGGGAGGCATGCGTCTTGGCAATACTGGGACGTGAGGGTGGCCTGGGGGCCGACACCGGAGTGGCCTTGCAAAACAGTCGTTCTGAGTCCTCCTCACGGACCGACCATCGTTTAAAACACACTGAGGCAGCGGTGTAGGGAACGCAGAGGCGAGAGGGGGTGGTGCGGTCAAGGGTATTTTACATTCAAACTCAAAGTCGATTTTGACTCACCGTGCCCCTATGGGGCAGGACAGAACTGCCCCTGTGGGTTCCTGGGCTGTCACCCTTCATGGGAGCAGAAGCCCTTCTCTCTCTCCTGGAGCAGCTGGTGCTTACAAACTGCCAACCACTGCACCACCATCACACTGTGGCTTTCGGAGTTCGGGTGGGCCTGGTTCTCTCGGGCAGCTCTCTGGTCACCCTCTAGCTGGGTGGGCTCTGGGCTGCTGTTGGAGCACGACACACAGTCCAGCCTGCCATCTCCGGGCCGTGGCCGTAGCCACAGTGTCACAGCATCTCATTGAGGGCCTTCCTGTGTTTTGGGTAATCTTCCACTTTACCCAGGATGATGTCCTCCCCAGGGACGGTTTCTTTCTGGTGCGATGTCAGGAGAATGTGCGATGACGGCTCGCCATCCTAGCTTCAAAGCGGCAGTCTGGCGGTACTTCTCCCGACACAGATTGGACTGCTCTTCTGGCAGCCCGTGGTCCAGCTCACAGTCTGCCCACCTTGGCAGGACTTCTAGTCTTCCCTACCGTCCCGCGTTCACGCGCACACGCGCTCTTGAAAAGACCATGGCTTTCAAGGGCCAGGCGCGCCTCGGGCCTCACAGTGATGGATTTGCTCGGTGACGCTTTAGAGAGGGCTTGGGCAACAGATCTGCCCAGTGAAATACGTCATTTTATTTTTTTGAGCACGGCTTCCAGGGGACCCAAGTAAAACAAAGCCCTTAGCCACCTCGGTAGTGTCTGTGTGTGCCGTGCCGTGACCGTTTGGCCCAGCTGTGAGGGTTCTTGCTTTAGTATGCTGCGGTTGCAGTCATTGATTGTCATCAGCAAGTGTGCCAAGTCCTCCTCACTTCCAGCAAACGGGGTGGGGGGGTGTCACCTGCACGGTGAAGGTTTTAAGTGGGTTTTTGTCCAAGCCTGATCCCACGTTCTTCTCCATGCAGAAGTCCAGCTTTGCACTGAGTAAGTGCGGTGAAGGAACACGACTGACACACAGCTTCCCGACTGCAAATCACGCAGCGCGCCCTCGTTCAGGTCACGTAACTGCCTCTTGGTCTAGGAACAGGTTCGCATGAGCACGGTGCCGTCCACAATGTGTTAGGGCTGAGTGTCTTTGGGTCGTGTGAGCTGCCACTGAGTCAGGTCCGGTTCTGCGGCCCTGGGCACAACAGAACCAAACGCTGCCGGCCCAGCGCCGTCCTCACCGCTGTTCTTCCGTGTGAGCCCACCGTTGCAGCCGCTGTGTCGATCCATCTTGTTGAGCGCCTTCCTCTTCGTGTCCCTGTACTTCATCAAGCAGAATGGCCCTTTCAGAGACTGGTCTCTCCTGGCAACAGGTCCAAAGTATAAGTGATCAAGCCTTGCCAACCTTGCCTCTAAAGAGCATTCTGACTGCACTTCTTCCAAGAAAGATTTGTTTGTTCTTTGGGCAGTCCCTAGTTCTTTCAGGGTTCCTTGCCAGCACTGTAACTCAACGGCAGCACTTCTACTTCCGTCTCCTTTGTTCCAGGTCCAATTGTCACAAGCACAGGCCCTGGCTTGGGTCAGGTGCACATCTCCGTCCTCTAGTCGCCTGCTCTTCAACTCTAACGCGTCTACTGCAGTCAACTTAAGTCTACTGCAGTCAACTTAGCCGATGCCCTGCTCTTCAACTCTAACGTGTCTCCTGCAGTCAACTTAAGTTTACTGCAGTCAACTTAGCCGATGCCCTGCTCTTCAACTCTAACGTGTCTCCTGCAGTCAACTTAAGTCTACTGCAGTCAACTTAAGTCTACTGCAGTCAACTTAGCCAATGCCCTGCTCTTCAACTCTAACGAGTCTACTGCAGTCAACTTAAGTCTACTGCAGTCAACTTAGCCGATGCCCTGCTCTTCAACTCTAACGTGTCTCCTGCAGTCAACTTAGCCGATGCCGTGCATCATGGACTCTCAGCTGCTGCTTCCTTGAGCAACTGTTGGATCCAAAACGAAATCCTTCACGACTTCAATCTTTCTGTTTATTATGATGTTGACTATCAGTCCAGTTGTGAGGATTTTGGTTTCCTTCACACTGCGATGTCATCCAGACTGAAGGCTGCAAGCCTTGATCTTCATCAGCAAGTGCCTCCAGCTCACTTTCAATCAGCACAACTGTGCCATCGGTCTAATGCAGCTTGTTAATGAGCCTTCCTCCCGTGTTGGCAGAGTTGACTTGAGAAACAAATCCAGAGACAAAGCATACGTGTGTAAGAGTGAGATTTACATCAAAGAGCAATTGCATATTGAGAAACAGCCCAGCCCAGTCCAGATCAAGTCCATAAATCTGATATTAGCCCCTATGTCTGATACTAGTCCACAAATTCCTCTTCAGACCCACACAGCACATGCAATGATGCCGAATGCAGGAAGATCACAGGCCGGTGGGTGAAGAGTCTTGTAGATCCAGTGGCAGTGGAGACGTCTCAACACTGGTGCGGGTCTCCATGTGGCTCTCCCAGCTTCTGAGTGTGGCATCTCAACAGGAAGGTGAAGCAGAGGGGGAGACTCCTTGTATGGCTTGAACAGGAAGTTCCCAGAATCCTTATGCG